CAACAATATTTGTTCAGCAGTCAGAGATGTTATTTCCAACAATGAGATAATCAATTTGTTTCTTACAACACGTTGTTATGGCACTGGCATTTGTGATTCTATACAGATTACCTTCATCATGTTGATGTCGCCGATATTCCAAGATAAACGTGATCAAGAATGCATCTTCTTATTTAATTGGATGGATTTATATAATGCCCATTGATTAGCTGGTTAACATTATCTTTGTTGGGATAAGTGCATCAATTGCTGGGACTTTGAGTATGACAAATTGATGGTGTCCTCTCTGTCTATAATTGCTTCATTATAAGTATTATTAGGTTAATGATGTTCAAGAGCCATTGTCGTAGTTGTCAATGCAGAGGTGACCTTTTTGAGTGCAACTCCAATCAATTCATGTACTAGATAGTATTCCCTGCCTTATTTAATTTCTGATATCAATCACGCGTTTCTGTCAAGCAACGACCCTTGAAATGAGGATAAATGCTCATATTTCGAGTAAAAATAGTGAAGGACCACGTACACTGGTGATCTACTCGATTACGCTGGTTGCATTAACAAATTGTCGGAACCTCGAAGACACGATTTTTTTCTTTTCCTTATTTCAAGTGTTGCAGGTAGAAATGCTACGACATTTTTATCACAAGTGTGTATCAGTATCATATGTCTAACAAAATGCACATGTTTGCGAACAAATAGTTCAGAAGACAACGGAGTCATCGATATAAAACCCAACTTTTGTAACGTAATCGGAACTTCAAAAACGGTTAAGATCACATTTGCAACTGCTCCATCACAGCGGACAAATAATTTAAACATTATTTTTTCAATAGCTTTTCCTCCTCGCGCTATGAAACTTCTAGAAAAACAACAAATTTCACGACCATCTATTCTCGCAAATTGCACTCGTTAGACCACAAACTACGCTACTGTGTATGTTCTTGAAAATTGCACGAATTGAACAATTTATTACACAAGAATAGTGACAAGTTGAATTACTCTCCGCCCCCCTGCAAAGTGCACCTGTGGGGGAACGTTTGCACTGTTGAAATTACAATTCAGATGCATTAAACTGTTGCAGCACACTTCTACATTAACCAATAACTTGTTATCCCAACGAACGAAGATCGGTAGGTATACGAGGGTTGTCCCAGAAGTAATACATTATATGCTTTAACTTTATCAATAATTGATATTTTTCCAGGAATTTTTCAGTAAATGTTCCTTAGAGACATTTTGATTATTCTAAAAATTTTCATGTTGACTGATAAAACTATATTGATGTTATAATAAAATCAAGTTGGTGAGTTTGGGTAGGGCGGGGCAGGTTATACAGTCACGTCAAAGGGAATAAAATTGAAAATATCAAATAGTTAATCAACAAATACCATTTGGTGTAGCTATAAGAAGTATGCTCAAAAATACATTTTAAGATGCTAAATTATTATCAGCACATCCTTTAATGGATGTATATTACACAGTGTCCCATTTCACATTTTCTCAAAATATTGCCTTTTGCATGTTTTGTACTTTTGATGCCTGTCAAGTCAAAAACTCTCGGCAATTTCTTCCACTGTGACTTATGGAGTTTTTGCCTCCCATGTCTGTAGTTGTCATACAGGGTCAAATCGTCTCTTTTAAATCTCTTCTCCCACCCCATAATTGTAGTTCTATCTGGCATATACTTTCTTCATGGTAGCATTGTTTTGTGTGGCTGTGATTCCAAGTGAAGTATGAAATTAGGCCACCAAACGCAAGGCCTTCTGTTATCAGGTGAGAATTGCAGCCATTTTTGCAATTTCTTGACTGTGACTGTATTTGAATTCGTAACTATTGAATGTAATCACAGTGCTAAATGTCATTATTTGTTATTGGTTAACATCATGCTGAATAAATTAACCCTACTATCACACCAAACTAGTTCTCACTACGTTCTCGAAAACGGGCTTACACTGTGGACGAACGGATTTGACGTACTAAAAACCCACTAAGAACCGTTTGGGATCTGTTTACAAACTTCATGAAATTACTAGAACGAGTAGGTCCTCCAGCACTTAGAGCATGCTCAAAAATTTCTGGTGATCGTCAAAACGTTGCCGAATCGGTTTTAAACTGTGTGCGAACTGAATGAACGTAGCTACAACGTTCTACGGTCTGTTTACGAACTTCATGGACTTTCCCGGACGGGGTATGTGATTAAGAATTTTGAATCGATTCAAAATTCGATGGCGACCATACCGTTCTGTAATCAGGTCATGTTGACCTTCTAGACTAAGGGACGATTTATACTACGTTGCACACCGACGTGGTGCGACCTGAACGAACTGCGAATGAGATGGACGTATTGAAGACTGTTTATGAACGAAGTAGCTAATTATTTTAGACATATATCCCGACCGCAGCCAGATTGAGCCCGTTTTACGACGTTTTCGTAGGACTGGCAAGAACGGATAAGAACTAGTTTGGTGTGATAGGGGGGTTAACCATTTCCCAAACATTTTGATCGTTTAAAGGAAAGAAATATTAATAAAATAATACTTTAGATCTTTTTATAATTAGAAAAATTGGTACCTGCCCCGCCCACCCCTACCCCCATGTTGTTATAGCAGCCATATTAAGACTTAATATAAATGTTGCATGCTGAAACTTCAGGATATAATAGATACAACTTCAATTGTTATATACACAAAATGTCAGCTGAATTGAAGAATATTAAAGAAAGTTAGAGCATATAGTGCATTACTTCTGGGACAACCCTCGTACATGTAGTGAAGGCTTCCATCCGTCAGTCAGTCGATCAGTCCGTCCATCCGAAAGATAACTAGAAATACCAGTTGATGGATTTTCTTCATAATTGTTAGATAGATGTGTTAGCTTATTGGCGAATAGTTTTATACGTAATTCTTTTTCAAGATGGCCGCCGCATTAAAAATGGCGGGAATTTTTTCGAAAACCTTTAAACCAAAGCAATAAATATTATTGTTTGAATTTTTTCACTTTATAATGTATGTTTGTCAGCCTAACCCCAGGGGCTGTGTATGAGGGTTTGGGAAACACAAATTTTCGTTAATTTCGAGATCATTCTGAAGCATTGGTTTATCATACTAAAATGAAAGGTAATTTAGAGATGATTGCAAATATTGGATAGTTTTTCTGATTCGTGCCTAGTAAATTCAAAATGGCCGCCCAATGTGGGATTACGCGATAACTTTATGTTCTAATCTACGTATAGCTATAGTATACACAAATTGAAGGAATTTTAGAGTAGATCACAATTATGGTACTTTTTTGATTCATGCCTCAGAAAATTCAAAATGGCTGCCTGAAGCAGGAATTCGCTATATAACTCTCGTCAAAGTATGGCTACATAATAATTACTGTACTAGATCTCAAATATTGTATTGTCTTTATGATTTGTACCTAAATGGTCTAAATGGACTAAATGGTCAACCAAATGCTTCAATCGGTGCATATTCTGATATTGTACATGCATGTCTTTTAATATCTGCTTATGTAACCAAGGACAGATTAGATGGCACATATTACATTGGGACATTTACCGATTCGTGAATATATTGTTCGTTGGGATTTGCTCTAGAGTTTTGAAATTTGTTCACGTGGAAGGAACATCTTATTTTGGTAAAACGCCAGATCATTTTACTCAGAAATACTTAAATAATTTCGCACAATATCAGACCACATGTCATGATTTTATCACTATTCTAGGAATTTTTGTTATGAAGCCAATTCTGAGCCAATACGATGTGAGACTTCTAAATAAATATTCCAACGCCTCCTTATCCTACTGGTAGACTATTATGTCATATTATAAGTAGTCTCATGCGAAATGATTAGATCCTGTCTTTATATATTTTATCAGACAGTTGAGCTCATCAAAATGAGACTCTTTAGAGTTATCTTGATCATGAGGAAATAACATCACGTAATGATCTCCAGCGACATATTGGTTTTTGACTAGGACGCCGCAAAACCACACAGATTGTTTTATTGTAGCGTAAGACTATCAAACGTGAAAAATAGTCTCTTATACGTCAGAAGTACCCAAATGGCATCAAATGTAGACGTCAGAAGTACCCAAATTGCATCAAATGGCAAAAGCAATGGCATTTTAGACTGCAATAATCAACTATCATCATAAACATCAAGTACCATTTTGAAAAATTGAGGGAGACACGTCATAAGGATTATCTGAGAATGACGAGAATGACACATTTTCAAGGGGTGTAAGTTATTGATAAAATAAGATTTCAAAAACACATGTTGCACCAAAAGTTAACTAAAATTATTTCGATGTACAGGGTGTCCCGAAAATATCGCCCCACCCCCCATAGGCAAACATATACCAACGTCTTCATAGTATGTGTCATATATCGTTTTAAAGCTTATACAAAATATGGGTGTTATCGAAGGTAGGATGGATATTTAGTGGGAAGAGAGGGCGGTGAGGGCAACTACTCTAAGTAACCTTTTCTAAAATGCTTTAAAAATGTTTAATGAGGATTACATAATACCACATATCTATTTGAGGCGCTTTTAAGGGCATATCAGAAAGAATTGCTGCTGTCAACATGGCCTAGAGAAACACACCGACTATTGATTTGTATTGTTGTAAAACTGAGCTTTAATTTTGGCCAAATACCTAATTTTGAAATGCCTGTAACTTGTTTCCCATTTGTGAGTTGAACCATGATACTTGGCAAATCAATATAACTTTGGATAAGCTTTAAAATGAAATATGACACACACTATGGAGGCATTGGTATATGTCTGCCTGGGGGGGGGGCATACTTTCGACACACTGTATTTCTGTATGATTTGAATCTGAATTACTTAATTGCTACAAAAAGTTTATTTAAGGCTGTCTAATACTCTTGCTAATTGCACAACGACAATATGGAGGATATTGTCCATTACTGAATCACAAAATATATAGACACAAAATGTTGATGTTATTTACATTTATTACTCAGTAATTGACTGTACAATTGATTGCAAATATAACATGTCATTCTGAGACACATCGCACATTTAGTGAAATACAACGTGTAAGATACAACGTGTTATGACTTACTCACCATGTCTTCTAATTCTTTCAACGGAACTTGCTATGTTATGACATGATGCCCCTCAACACAATTGTCCCAAGAGGTTACGATCATCAGATCAAGATAATTCATCAAACAATTGCAATTGTTGGTACTCAACAAAGAGTCTTTAAGATCTACTTTGGAGAAATGTACTAGCTGATTCTAATGAAACAAAAAACAAGCCTTTGTTACTTGACTTATAACGTCCATTGTTGTTATAAACGTTGTTAGCAAATTTGCAGGGCACTTTGCGACTTTCCATTTATATAGACATAATGTACAATTCTTTTAACTTTCTGCACTGATTAATCAATACTGTACATTGCTAATAACTTGGTAATTTGGTTCTATTTTGGGATTACTATAGTGTCCTTTGGGCCGCCATCATGACGTACTTGTACAATGCGCATGACAGAAAAACAATTAAGTCCTGTCCTACAAATTGAAAAAAACTAATTTGGGTTGTGGTAATTTTACACATTATTTAGGAATCCCAAACAATTTAGTGACGTCAAGATCGTACAGATAAGGACGCAAATGATCCATATTTGGACCATTTGTCTGATTATAATTATGTACATGGAATTAATCAGACAAAGGTGTCTCCTTAATTTAGTTCATTATAAAACCATCACTTGACGTCAAGAAACAAGCATCATCAAACAATCATCCGTTGATAGTTTCTGGGATGAAATGTTTTTGTTAATCCCAAGTATCCCTTCACATTTCCTTATCTTCAAATTCATGTCCAACATGTGTTCGCCTTCTATTCTCAGAACAGATTCGATAAGCATTTTGAGAAGGATCCAAACTTGCATCAAATCTCTGTTCCCCACAGTACACAAAGTTTTGATGCAAGGCTATTCCCAATATTGCTTTGGTTCAAATTGGTTTTCATCTCCGTTTTTATGTAACCACCAACTGCGTCGTTATTTAACCATTTGCAGACGATGGTATATTTTTATGCTAATGGCTTGTTTATTTCTACGGCTCTCCGTAAACGTCAATAATGCGTTTCAGAATAATATAATGTACTAGTGTACGATGCACGTGTAACTAGTCCTTTTCATGGACTGATTCTTACAACCATTTGGACAGTATATTAATACAAATCGATTATAGCAAGAGAAGGAGGACTTATATACACGTACATTCAATGAATAGGGAGTTTAAGCTTGCAATGTTTTTCACAACCTAAACGCGAACGGAAAATATTTAAGCGATGCATTTGTATGGGTGATTTGTCATACGTATAGGTTGACGTGTCGATTTTATATGCAAGCCTAAACTCCCTAATATTTAATCCACAGATAAATATAGTTTAATACTTTTTTATGTTCGGATCATCTAAACTTTAGTTTCTGTGTATGTGTAAAAAGAGCTAAATCTCCGCCCAAAAAATGATGTTCTTCTAAAACTAGAATTTCCATTTGGTTCAATTTGATTTTGTATTATTTTTAACTTGATCAGGATCGCCTTGTAGCCAGCTTGAACAGTTTTAGTCCTCCATCCATATATGATTGGGTCCAGTATATAATGTGTAAACGGGAGAAAATATATAAAATTATAGTACACTTCTCTAAGATCAACGGAGAAATGATAGCGGAATAGTTTGAAGATCAAATACGGTAGGAGAGAGAGGATGAGCATAGATATGAGAATGATGGTCGTGATGAGCGCCCTAAAGTTGTCCTTTGTTGATGATTCGGCGCGCATACGGATACACCGAACGTGTAAATCATGAGTGACCTTGATGTACAAGCACGTGATGATCAGAAACACCACGAAGACAATGCTCGGCCATATGTAGTTCCAATAGTCACACGAAGGGAGGGCGATAGAATAATGTACCTCAACGACGACGCAGAACGCAGGAGAACTCATCAACGCTGATAATACCCATATAGCCAACACTAAACATATCGTCTTTTGACGGTTTCCAATTTTATTGAAACTCAACGGACGGAATATCGCAATATATCTCGCCACAGCAAACAGCAACAATGTCAAGGCTGACACAATGTAGAACATGACGAAGAAGAACATGTATCCTATAACAGTAACGTGAAAGGTCACCGCAATGATATTGCTCTTGGTCTTGTTCCATTGAAAATAAACTTTGGCGAACATTTCCAAAAAGCACGCAATTGCACCCAGAGTATCAGCGATAGATAGGTTCATGAACAGCGTTGTGTGCATGTTTTGGCCAGATGGGATACAATAAATTGCAACTATAGAGAAAACATTGAAAAATACGGCTATTACACACAAGACAGCCGCTGAAATCAAGAGTCTTAATAAACCTTTCTCTTCGGCCATTCTCGAATGAAATGTCAAGTTACCATATACGTCTTCGAACAGGCTCAGGTTGGATTGTGAGAAATCCAAGGATGAGTAATTAGAGACGCTTTCATTTAAAAGTGATCCATTTGTGTTGGATATTGCCATCGCTAATGGATTGTAATAATCCATGTTAACAAGTAGATATTGTTCAGGGATTTGTCGATAATCTTATTCTATAATGTTCTTAATTGTTCAATTGCAACCGATATTTATTTTGAGGTGTTTGAAACATTGTTAACAGCTTCCGATAATTTTTCCTCTTCGTCAAAATTCCAGTAAGTGTTTGAATAACCTTCTGTGATGTTTACTCCTCTCCTTTTATCACGTTTTCAATAATTGTTTAGATAAACTTTCCCTGGTTCCGTTTCGCGTCCCTATTCGTTAGATGAGTACGATATCATGGTTTTACAAGTCCGTGGCAATATAACCGATAAGTTTATGCGAGTTCTGCGCTTCCAATATTAAGCTTAATTATAGTTCCCCAGACAGCTCTTTTATGAGTTTTTTGTCATCAGTTAAATTACGAACGAGTGGTCTTATTCCGAATCTTTTCTACACGAACACTGTGATGAATTGTTCAATCCACCTGTTCAGTGCCCGCTCTTCTGTATGCATGCTAGATTTATTACTAATATGTATCTCTGCGTATGATTGCTTAGATTAACCTAATTGCACTTAGTTAAAAAGTTATCAAGGAAAATCGGAAAATAATAAACCATACTCATTTATCATTCCTAGTATTAGCATTTCCGTTTGATGCCTTTATTCAACCTGAACAATATTCTCAAATATCGTATTTCGTATTCAGCAGCTCTCTATATAGCGCCTGTCTTGTTATCCGCAGCCGCTCTGCCCATCTTTCCAAAGGAATGGCTATAGCATAAAGTTGTTGATGCAGATACATCCGACTTTAAATAATAGTTCCTCGATCAATTGCTCTTTATGTGTTTTTGCCCATCGATGTCTTTTGAACACTATTTTTCACAGTTCACCCGGAAAGACTTTTCCATCGTGTTACCTTCTGTGTGAAAGACGCGAGAATGGCCTTCCTCCGCAAGTCTCTTCATAAATGACGATTCTCCAGAGCCGCATTACATCACGCTAATTATCCCTTTAACTTGCGGGTATTCTTATACTTCATCTGTTGGTAACTAACAGATCTTATCGAATCAAAGCTTATTTAGTTTCGCTCGTGTCTAATAAATGGTTATTATTTCCTTGGCTCTTTTCCGGCTGAAATTGTTGCTAGGAGAAAACGTCCATCAAACGCCGCCTTTGTTTCAAATCTCAGCCTTCGTTTCCTTATGTGAAAAGTCACATCAAAATCATGAAAGCAAAATTAATGTCAGTATAGATTGTAACGAGTTCCTGGTTTATCAAACTAGAACAGTAAATTGATTCGACATCGCTGCATTTATTGGTTTTGTTAACTTAATGCTATCATAGATAGTAACTGCAGTTACCAAAACAAAATGGCGGTTTATATACCTAGTTGATATTAAAGTCGGATTTTGAGTTACTGCGCTATCATCTGAAGTGGTATATCTAAGTCGGATTTTGAGTTACTGCGCTATCATCTGAAGTGGTATATCATATCGAACTCTTATACATTGAATACCAACGGCTTTAGAGTTTTGCGTGAATTCTAAATAACCATGTGCATAAAGGAGGGGATATCCCAAATTTTATAGAGTAGCCTATATTTTCATGCTAAGATAAGGTTCATGAGGTTCATCTTGTATGGTTCATCTACGAATTCTGGAATGTTTTCTCTTTATTCATCTAGATTTATGAGATCAGCCGATGCAGTTAATAGTTATGTTAATTAGTAAAGCTAATAATTTTTCTCTGAATCATTTATCATTTTTTATATCTTTTGATCATACTTCCAACATAGAATTGTAATTGACTAATTGATCTGGAATTATGGCCGAGATATGTTGACTTTGGCCCTGTAGCTGTTGGCATAGTAACTTGAAAAAGGTACCGCGGAGCAAACCGCCACGAATTATAAGGAAAACAGACACTTTTTTCTCGAATTCAATATCAGTTTAATTTTTGTGATCATTTCTATTGCCCGGTTAATTGAATTACACACTGGATTTAACACACATTCTGATGCCTCATTGACATACGCAACGGAAACCATTTCAGGAAGTTCTTAATGTCAAACAGCAATAAACATCCTAATTGTGTCTTCATTGACCTTTTCATTGATATGGTCATGTTAGTTTGACCCTCATAGTCAAAAGTCCTCGACAGAAAGAAGAAATACTTCAAAACTTTTATATTACTTTTCAGTATTGATAAACTGAATAACCATCAGTAGGCCTACACTAATGCCTGGGTCACATAGCCGCCGGGCGCCGGCCGATGAGTAGTCATCGGCCGATTTATAAATCGACCGGGCGCCGGTGACTTTTCACCGATGTCTTGATCTAATCGTGAGTATGGTCACATTAGTACAGGCATCGTACGGCGCCCGCAATCAATTGAATCTGAAAGACATCGCACGGGTATCGCAAGGCTATCGACCGATGGCCGTACGGGACCCGCCAGGACATCGGTCGATTTACAGGCCTCTAGATTTATACTTAATCCCTGTATTACCCAGTATGACTGTTCCACATGGCGTGAATGCAACATTTGAAAACGAAATACTTTGATAAACAGGACTTCCAGGATAATAATGTTTTCATGCAATAAAAATCAGAAAAAGAAGATTCTCTTTTGAGTAAATAGGTTCAATATTTAGAAAAAATGTTGACATGGGGTCCCTATTTATCATTTTTCGAATTGTTTGATTGATATTTTTATCATCATGGGTACTTCAATTGAAAGAAAACATATTGTTTTAATAAAAACACTCTATTTGTGCCCAGAAGGTACTCATGGTGAAATATATGACCGTCTAAAATCACTTACCATACTGGACGTGGTCTTTTCATCAAAGTGCACCCTGATCTTAATTCATTTTTAGGTCCTTCATATAAAAACTACTATGTCTACATGTCCATCCGATGCTATTAGCAAAATTCCTTATTTCTCCATCTTTCTTTCGTCTGTTCTTGTAAAGAGAATTAGTTTGGTCATAAAAATATGGCTTCAAAGAAATTGGCATATTTCTTCTGTTTCAAGTGGAGTACCCGCTTCCCTATAGACACATCTAAATCTTCATCATCCACCAGCTCAGTAGCATTGTTATTGTCTTTTTCCACCTGTCTTTCCAAGGCCTTCTTCATATATGGCCCATTGGCCTTATCCCCTCTATCCTTAGCCTTTGGCATATTACGTTGTAATTGAGACGTAATTAATCGTAGTAAAATTGTGACCCTTGAAATTACTGTACTCACAAAAACATTCCGAAGATTTTTAAAATAAATGATTTGTAATGGTATATGCATGAGTGAATATACGCATAAAAATGTAAAACTCTATTCAATGTGTATGACAGACATACACGATTAATGTCAATATAAGAACGACTAGATCAACCCACCCACCCAGCCATTCAAATGTGTGCCATTGTTTTATATACAGTAAGCTTAATCGTTCCATTTATGTTTTATAAAAATCTCTGTCAGTGTGTAGTAATTATAATTCCTTACCTCATTATTTTTAAAACCTTTATATCACTTTATAAGTAATCATTATTAAGATTTATCCAACAAATCAGCACGCAAAATCCAAAGATGACCGTGCGATGCCACCGGGCGCCGTAAGATAATCGTACGATGATCGGGCGGGACACGGCCGGGTAGGTACCGATGAGTTTGGTTGAGAAAAAATCGCCAAGACATCGGCAACTTTTATCTCCGCGATAAAACTCTGCCGGCGCCCGTACGATGTCTAAAAATCGGCCGATGAGTGGCGATCATCGCCCGGCGCCCGTACGATGCCCGGGCTCGCCGGCCGATTTTGAACAAAATACTCATCGGCCGGGCGCCGCAGTGAAAATCGGAGCCTATGTGACCAAGGCATAAGATACTTTCTCAATGGCCATCAACCCTTCAAATTTAAAAGAATAACACGTCCCTTCCCCCTTTTAGATTGCCGTTTCCTGTCTAGTTTACCTATAAATGCGATTGAAATTAATATCATGAAAAACTCAAAAGTATAACAAACAAAAAAATATATATATGAAAAGAACCCACCTAAAATATAACAAATCGTCATACAGTCATAAATTCTAATGTTTCGATATATCAAAATGATCCTCTTGTATCAGTGTACATGTATTCAGGTGTGAAGGAAATTATGGTCCCCCGGGGATTATGGTCCCCCTTTTTAAAGGCCCTTACTGTCCCTGATTGTGTATAAGATAATAAGGGAAAGATCAATGGATAAATCAATGGAGAGTAGGACCATGAATTAAAAGAACCTCCTACCCTTTTACACCGGTTTGTTAAATAAATTTTTATCCGATAAGGAATCGGGGATTGTTGCAAATGTATCTAGAGGCTTTTTTCATTTTAAAAATGTGGAAACAACGGAAACATGCTAGAGCGTTTGTGGAAACGGTAGCATACTAGAGCGTCTGTGTACTAAAAAAATGTAGCATATTATCTGAGCGTTTGTGGAAACGGTAGCAAAGTAGAGAAATTCTGGTAACGGTAGCATACTAGAGCGTTTGTGGAAACGGTAACATACTAGAGAGTTCGTCTAAACGGTAGCATACTAGATAATTTGTGGAAAAGGTAGCATACTGTGAGAGCGTTTGTGGAAACGGTAGCATACTAGAGAGTTCGTCTAAACGGTAGCATACTAGATAATTTGTGGAAAAGGTAGCACTAGAGCGTTTGTGGAAACTGTAGCATACTACAGTGTTTGTGTCTGTCTGTCTGTCAACAGTTGGCCCGTTTTAAAACCTGTCAATAGGATTCCCGTTTTAAGTTATTTTTGTTCAACATCAATATAGAAAACTCCCCTGTGACTCCTGGTTCAAAATCTCGCCTATTTTCAAAATGGCCGCCATTTTTGTTTCGCGAAATTTACTTTTGGACCATTTCCTTAAACCTGTGTCGATAGGATTCCCGTTTCATGTTATTTTTGTTCAACATCAATACAGAAAACTCCCCCATGACTCCTGGTTCAAAAGCTCACCTATTTTCAAAATGGTCTTAATTTTTTTCTTGCGAAATTCACTTTTGGCCCATTTCCTAGCTTTACAAATAA